CACTCAAGGGCATATTAGGTGAAAAGAAAAAGTCCTATTACAGCCACAAACAGGAAACAAACAGATAGATTTTGTTCTGAAATTCAGAATTGACTTATTTTGTAAAAGCCAAAGACGTGCCTTTCAAGTCTCAGCTCATAGCGACGAGCCCTGTGACCACACAGCACACAGGAGAGAATGAGGAAGTGCAGGCAGGCTGCGCCCACCAACCCGCCTTCAAGCCACTCGTCTCTCAACACGTCCCGGGCCGCACAGCCGCGCCGCCAGCCCGCAGACACACGGGGCGACGCAGGGAGAGCTCCAGCCGACTAATCCCATTCCACCCTCACGCGCCACAGCTCGGAGAGTCCCAGTCCCAGTCGGCTAGAACCCGTGATCGCAGAACTCATCCTGCACTAAGGTGAGTATCGTTGAGCTCTGAGCCACTCAGGAGGCCCCCCGAATACAGAATTTGTGTGTAAGTCTTATTTGATATCATGTTGTGTATCACTGAAGACAAAAGGTCTGTTTTTGTTATTTCCTGGTGCATTTTCAACCAAGATGGCACATTTGAAGAAACTATGAAATGGGAAAATGGGAAATTCAGTCCATTTCAGTTGACACTGGGGACACAATCCTTACCTCTGTAATTGACAACAGAAACTCCACGTAATCTTTGTAGCATGTGTCCTTCAGTAATGCATAAAGGCCTTATGTAATGTTTATGGCTATAACAATATTTTCAAACTTCATCACAGCTACTGTTTAAAAAGCCTTGTGTATATGAAACTTCGTTTTATTTTTGTCAACCAACACAGAAAGGCCTTTAGTGGACAGTAAAGATGTGGCTATATAAATCAGTATAATGCATTATGCTTTATGACCGCAGTGCATAAACATTTCTCAGGTTTCCCATAAACAACAAAGCTACAACTTTAAAGGATAAGATGAGTTACATAAGCAGACATAGCTGTGTTTGTAATAAAATTAGTTAGCAAATAATAAAGCCAGAATCTTTTTCTGCCATGTAGTAATTGACATCCAGAGTAGGTAGAGCGTTGTTACAGACAAGTCTTTTAGTTTCTATCACCACAGTGCATCTCAGTTAAAACTCTATGCCAACAAAGAACTGTATGGCCTTATAAAATTAAGTACCAACTCCATTCATGACTAAAAGAGATATGCATCAATCATTCTCTCGCTATAATATATACAAAGGGTCTTAATGAAGTAAAAGGTTACACCTAGCTTCTAAAACTACTACATTAACAATATTCAACATTTCTGATTATCATCAGTGACCTCCACACTGACAGCTCTGAATCTAACATTATGATCAGAGGTACTACACAATCTCACATGCTTCTCACAGAATGGCATGACCAACTTCAATTTATTTGTTTTTTTTTTTGCTTTTCATTTAAAAAAAGAAAATACACATAATCCTTTTATACCAGGAGCAGGAATGGGAATCCCTAGAGACACACACACCTGCTGTTTTTTGTTCCACCTTCTGACCATTCAAATAATTACCCCTAAAAGACCCAATAATACTTTTAATCTGAACTCTGTTTCCAGCTCCTAAACATGCAGGAGACTGCCTTGTAAAGTAAAGGTTCTAACCAAGCAACTCAGAGGTTGAATTAAAAGATTTGTTTAAGTCAGGGGCTCCCAATCCTGGTCCCAGAGGCCCACACACCTGCTGGTTTCTGCTCTCAGGTGCACAACTGTAGTACTGATTTAATGTATTTGTAATAGAATTAATAGCACTGTTTTCATCTCTTAAATTTGTTTGATATTACTTTTTAATGATCGCAATACATAGGTAAAATCCCAATTGCAAATCGGTTAAGGCTTTGACTAAACATTTAAGGTGGGGTGGAATGAAAACCAGCCGGTGTGTGGTCCTCTAGGACTGGGATTTGGGATGGAACCCCTGATTTGAGGAAAGAGCTCAGAAGCAGTGAAAACCAGGAACTCTGTGAGTATGACCAAGATTGGAAACCCTCTCTTTATGTTAATGGAACTCTAAATGAAAGTACTTGATTGGATCCTCTACAAGTGCATTATCAACTCAAATGCTCAAGATGTCCCATGAAATGCAAGTGAAATGGTACACCATTAGGAAACTGAAAATAAAGAGTTCAAATACACCCCATTATGCCAATTAAAGATTCAATGATGTAACTGAGAATCTGGGTGTGTGGATCTCCAAGACCAGTGGTATAAACCCCGGCTTTCTCACACGTTCCACCATCCTTCTGAACTCCTCCTTTTTTCACTCCAAAGGGCCCAGCTGAACATCCATCCCCACAGCAACACCACAGCAACACCACAAGCCCAGTGTGGCAGCAAGAACACAGCAGGCCACCCTCCACCCTGAAGAGAACATAACTGCCGCCCCAGACCCTCAAGAATCCTTTTACCCCCAACCTCTCTCCTTACCTCTAAACTTAGTGTTTAGTAGGACTAAACAATAAACGTCGAAATTAAAGGGCATTTTATTAATCAGTTGAAAGTAGATACATGACATCTATTTAAAGATCAACTGTCTCATCTGATTTCAGCCACACCCCTCCTTTACTAGTTATTTTCGTTCCCACACGTGGTCTCGTCTCTTCTTTTAAGCTGCCACTTTCAATCCCCAATCATCAATGTTCTCTCAAACAACTGAACAACTACAAGTCAAGACCACCAGGAGAAAGCCCACTTCCTATTTTTGGTGGCCAAAGATGCCTGCCTGCAGTCACTGCCACTGCTGAGAGCTGAGGTTCTCAGTCCTGGCCCTGGAGGAACAAGGTCGGATGGCTTTCTCCCCAGCTGAGCTCTCCATCTTCTCTGCGTGTAGATGACTTAACTGATCTGCGTGCCTGTTCAAACTGATTGAGCCTGTTTTTTGGTCAACCCCGAGTGATAAAAATACCCTACTTCAAGGGTACCATTCCCAGCAACGCCTGCGTACAGAACTTGGCGCAGCATCTCCTCGACATGCTTGCCGTTATTTGTGACTAAACAGCTCTTATTAATGGACTAAGGATGAACAGACACAGGTGGGGATGACACCATCAGACACTCCCACCATGGACATTTTTTTTTCCTTTATATCTTTAGATGCCTAAATGAAGACTATTCTGAAATGCAAAAAAAAAACGGTGCATGATCGCTACCCATTACAAATCAAATCTGAACTTTTAAGAGCTTAAAGAAAATTGCGAATATGTTCCAAAAAGAAAATGGCTGGAGAAAAAGCCAGAAGGGACAGTGTTCCTTCGGGACCAGAATTAGGGACCACTGGCCGAGAGCACCTTTGATTCTAGTATTCACACCAAGAAAGAAAAAGGAAATGACAGCAGGAACTTTCAGTTTCTCTTGTGGTGTGTTTGGGAAAAGCCCCTAAAGATGCACTTCATTAGCAAGCCATCATCAATGTGCAAAATAGAGAGCCAAACAAAAACACTGAATTACTAAGAGGACAGAAAATACAGCATATCAAAACAGGAGCTGGTGTGATAACGATCATTCTTTTTCTGCTGTCTATCATGTCCTGACGTAATTATTAAAATTATGAGTACAACAAATACTGAACACCATACACTAGCAATTTTAATAAATTAAACTTAATGAAGAGAATGAGAAGAGAATGGAGGATAAAAGCACTACAGGCCCTAATATCTGTTGCAGTAGCTCGGATCACAATTTTCATAGTAAACATATTAAAACCTTCAGGAATATATTAAGAATAATATCCAATCATCAAAAAGAAAATTATACAATGGTATACTGTTGTTGTTCCAGAAAAAAAAATCTAAAATCTAAATAAGGTGTTAGATTTGACAAGTGTTTGGTATCCAAAATACAAATATTTCTTGAAGGAAATGCAATATGTGCCTGTTTCTTGGACTTCTCAAACCAAAAAACGTGCTCATATTATGATATGGATAAAGCATTGTGGTTGATCTGATTGGACAATGAAGAAATGTGTCCTTCAAAACACACAGAATCTAAACGCATACACTTCAAAAGTCATCTCCAAATAACATGCCTAGTAAATTCTCAGTAAAACAATACTATTTACACTAGATTTGAGTGTGGTAAAGACTGGAATTTTCCTTGCTACGTTCAAGACACTTACATATACAGTATATATATATAATGTACTGTACCACTTGAATGAAAGCCATACAAATCTGCCTTTTAATTTAATCGGTAGGCCCGCCACCTTTAACACGCCTCCTAAAGCACATCCATCAGCTGGTATAAAATAATATTAAAAACATGAAAGAGAAACCTGATACAATCGTGAACCAACCTAACCTTAAAGACTGTCGCGGCCTTGCTTTTTATTCACTAAAGCAGTGATTTATTTTCAAGCCACGAGCAAAGCTGCCAGTCAATTAAACAAATAAATATGAGCAAATGGAAGACTTCAGCTCATCTAGGAAGCTTAAGCCTTGAGTGGTTTAAATATAGAGAGCGGGAGAGGGGGGCTGAGGCTCGAAACGGTGAGAAAGATTTGGACTCGGCCAGTGTGTTGTTGTGGTGTGACGTTTTTGCAACGCTAACATATACAGACATACACCAGCACCCCGCTCGACCCAAATATAGCGCCACCCCATCGCAAACAGAGAGTCAAGAACCGAGTGCGGGTCAGTGGTGTGCCGTCTTCACGGCACTGCTCATTCCGACAGATAACCTTTCAACTGAGGTTGTAAACACAAAAGCCTCCGCGTCAGTAATATAGAAGATTACATAACAAACCTGGTATTACCGCGCCAGGTCCGACTTGTTTGTCTGTGGCGTGTGTGCTGATCTTGTGAGTTCACCACTTGAAAACGAGCAGGAAGAACAATGATACAAATAACCGCAGACTGGCCCCTCTTTCAAACACGAATAACGCGCATGTTTGAGGCTAAAACGGGGGCAAGACCGTTTTCAGTTATTAGCCTGCAAATTAAATATCACTGAAATCGCTTTTGGCTGAAAATTATTAACAATACCCACATAAAAAAAACAATACTTACGTTCTCGGGAACAGAGTAGATACACTTCCAAAAACAAACTCCAGGCTGCCGCTTAGTTTTAATGTAATTTTACGTATGGGCTTTTCTTGCTGTTGTTGTTTTTTTTTTTCCTAATGCAATCAAGATTCAATTTCACACGAGTAATTCCTTTTTCAACGGTTCTCTGCTCTGGTTGTGTGGAGTTTTAAACATTTTGAAACGCTCGATCGGTCAGTCACTGCAGTCTAATTAATTCATAAGTAAAAGACGCGGGAGCACGAAACCAAACAAAAATAAACAGACGTCAACCAACTAAGTTGAATTAAATGCTAGAAGCAGATGACGTTCTTTCCTCCATTGAAGAGCTGTTCTCTACAGGCTCTGCTGTCCCCGTCGAGGGGAGGGTTGCGTTCCGTCATTCTCGTTGCCCATTGGCTACAGTCTTTCGTATATTCGAGTGTTCATTGGTAAATGTGAATGCCAGTCATGACGTAATTAAACCCATCCTCCACTCTTCTCTGATAGGGCAGGCTGTTGTCAAGTAGGGTAAATTCCTTTGGTCCAACTATATGTCAATCATTTATTGTTGATGACGCCTCTGTCCCGCCTACATACTCTACCGTGTTTGACCAGATCAGAAACTCCTTCCCTCATGACGATACATTGTTCTTGATTTTTTATTGGCTGTTCTTCTTGCCTGTTAGTCGTTCAGCCGTCCTTACCCCAAGCAACCAAACTTTATATGGTCTTTTAACGCAAAGTAAACGACGGCAGAAAAGTGGTGATTATGAAACGATCGCCATTGTGGCTCAAACTTTGAGAATGCTTCGCATCTTTAATTGAAGAAATGCAAGAGCCAACATGGTGAACGGTAGCGCGTTAGTTTCATAAACTTAACCCCCAAATTAAGGGTTTTAATGTGAAGATGTGATTTATTTAGCAATTTTTGTTTTTTGAGTAATTTGTTTTTTGGGGGTGTGGGAATTATTAACGAGTGAATTACAAATCGTTGCCCTCCAAAATACGACTCGGGGGTTGTACTGAAAACATCTTGTTTCAGTCAGCGGAGATCGAATAGGGGGGAGCGATAAGCACTAGCCTTCCCCCAGAATCCCCTGTGTCTTTTTCTGTGAAATCACCACCAGCCAATCAGCGCGACCCATTACGTCATCTTCTAAACCAAAACAAGGTTCTTCAGGTCTGTCAATCAAGGTTCTCAGTCCACGCTGAATAGAACAAATATTTGCATGAAGTTTTTCCAGATCCAGATTTATTCCTTGCTTTTTCTTTCAGCAAGAGTTATGAGAAGGAAAAAATGCCCAATATTTAATGTTCGGAGTTATATCTAATGTGAATTGTTTACACAGCCTTCCTAATATTTGTTCATTTAAAAATGGGTCCAATTTTGTTTGTACTTTGCTTGAAAAGATTACAGGTGGATACTTAAATACATCTTGCCACCCATCTTTCCTGGGGCCAGTATTTATACTTTTTTTATATATAAACAAATATTGTGTAATATATGGTAAATTGCCATAAATGATCTCTATAAGACAACTTTCTAAGCTACAGTTGCGATCAATGTAACCTTTTGTTTAGACAGCAGATTTTTGTTTTCACAACGTATACAGTTAAGTTTCTCTTTCTATATATTCTACTGCTCTTCAAATCCAAGTATGCCTGTGTAATGCTAAATAATCACAAGTGTGTTTTGATCTAAGAATATATTTTTCATCTCATCAACCACATCAAAAATGTGTGGTAAGGCAGGATACGTATGCAGGGGTTCGTAGACTGCATATCAAGCACAGGATGCTAATTTAAATATGCTTCAGATAAGGTCTCTGACTAAAAATGTGCAGTTTATTTTTTTATAAAGATGATTACAAAATATACAAAATATAACTTCACTACTGTGCAGTTAGAGTTCAAGTGAATGCAATGCAAATACTTCATAAAGGTTATTCTATATAAATGATTACAAATACTTAACAAATGAATACAAAAATTACACATTTCATTTGTTTTTCTAAGTAAGTACTGTAGCTTATTTCTTCAGCATAAATACAAACTGTATTCAAGTGCAGATCATTTAGTTAAAAAGTCACATCCCTGGTCTGGAACTTATCTTTCTAAACCAAAGCTGATTTTTAATGCTGAAAGCTGTAACGGCCCAAAAAACCCTAAATGCTGAACTGTCTTAGAATTTATGATTTTATACTCCTGTGTACTTTGCCGTGCTTAGTTTGGGATGGCCTAGACAGATGTAAACATGCTTCATGCTTAAAGAAAACCTCAGCCTTGTTCTGCAGCACTGTCCACATGACATCACTGACTCTGATGTGTATCCATGCCTCCACCAAGCTCTTAGTTGTCAATAAAAATCCTTTTCCTCCCTGACTTAGAATGGGAACATGGTATTACTGCACAGATAAGCCATGGAGCTGAATTACAAATAAAGAATTGAAATGATTATACTATTTCTATACCATATAATAACTGTGAAAGACAGAGAAACTTAACTGTACAGTGCAATAAAATAAATACCATCTTATTTCTTGAGAATAACATTTTGTAATGAGGTCTGTATCCAACAGACCATATGGTGTGAAAGACATAGCTTTGTAACATCTGAGAAATCTTCGAACATATCTAGTTTGAAATATAAAGCATTTCAAATTATACACAATATCTGAAGACGATTCTACACAACGCTAAATTTATCACACATTATCAAAGATTACAGAACAACCTTCTAGTGTTGTAAAACTCAAAACAAACTCAAAACAAACATTTAAATATAGAAAAGTTAGTGCTAAAGGAACATCCTGAAAGATTTCTGTGATGATTTAGAACTTATTTACGAACAGGTGGTTTCTAAAGAGGGGAAATATAACTATTATGTTGTTTGAAATGGTAATGGATTTGGCCCTCTGTCATTATTTCTCTAGAGCTGAGGGACGGGGTAACAAATTTAAAGCATAATTCATTTCTAAAGACTTTCTATGCCCTCATTCTGTTCAAACACCCCTATGTCAAAGACTGTGTGCTACAAAGTACTGAGATGTTGTGCATAAATGACTCTGGGAACATGGGACCAAGCACAACATTGGTACACACTAGGGTCCTGCTTCAGCTCAGTGTAGAAGGCAGCAGTAAGCTGTGATGTTACCACCAGTCAACACAGAGACCTACCTGGTACACTAAGCTGCATCTACAGTACACTGTCTGAATAAGCCAACTAAATTAATAAACACCCTGCACGTCATTGTTTACACTGCCTGTCAGCCAATTCTACAGTCATAACAGCATGATTTCTAATCTTAAAACCTATTATTATTATTATTATTATTATTATTATTATTATTATTATTGCTAAATAATATTTGCTAAAGTGCTAAAGGAAAAATCATGACAACAGTTTAAAGTTAGGAAGCCATCTGACTGAGCGTGGGGCTGTTTTATTTCATAAGGTAGAGCACTGTGTTAAAGGAGTAAAGTATACAAAAAACAGTTTTACATCTCCTTCCATACTGGCTTAATGCCTCTGTGTCTCCCCGTTTTGATTCCACAGTGTGAACAAGCAAAGCATCTTTATCTGTATCTGGTGAACTAAATCTGAGGATTCCCTGACACCATGAATTTGCACTGAATTTGAATGAAGCATTGCGAATACGTGAGCAAAAGACCTTCGCACAGAAGCTGAATTGCACAATGGCCTATTCTGCTTGTGAATGTATGGAAGATTTTGCAGAGGCCGGCAGTTTCTGAAACGGCATTCTTCTGATAGCAATTAGTGCAAAGATAGGTACTATTCACAGCTGATGAGTCACTCTGAGTCACAGGCAGGACAGTGTCCCAGCTGCACTGTACAATTGCCTGGTAATTTTTAGACTGTAAAGGTACAAGTCGTAGCAGCGATGATAATAGTAATATTAAGTACAGTACTCTGTCTTTTTATGTAGTGCTTTTCGTTCCCAATGATCCCAAAGGTTCTTTGCACATACAGTAGGAAGGGACACACTTCATCACTTCACCCACCTGGGTGACACAATGCAGCCATTCAGCACCAGCAGCCCTGCTACAGTACATGACAGACCTGGTGAAAAAGTGAGAAAATGGTTCTGATATTATATATTATTTTATAACAGTTGTAATAAATTATATAATTCATAAAACTGTTTTTTTATGTTTTATTCAGTATTTTTACAGCATCTTATTACAGTGTATTAATTGCACCGAGTTCTTTAATTTTAATGTTGTGTTCTTTCATTATTGTTTTTGGTAAATACATTATTCATTCATTATTTGGTCATTATTATTGTATTATTATTTATAATAATGTTTCCCATTGGTACGTACATTGTTCAATGATGGCTACATAATGGTGTATGTGCTTATAAAAATCATCTGAGAATGCACAACATATTACATTATTTTTAATGTTTATGAAACTTTGTGTAGAAAAACATCATGTCTAATTTTAAGAAAATATTATTTAATTACTGTTGACCTAAAAAGTGAAGTTGTTTCAAAGAGGAGCGTTTAATCAGCTGTGGGATGCGGTCAGCATCTACTGTATCTGCTCAGTACAGGAAATGACGTCAGTCCTGCAGAGGAAGTTTGGTCTTATTAATCTCAGCATCCCACCTTGTAGTGTCTTAGGGTCTCACTCCTCCTCTGGCTCAGCTGGAGTTACTGGCTACTTTTTTTGAAAAGTGCAGCTAATGTCTTTGAAATTTCCTATAGAAAACTCACTGATTTGTATTTCATTTTACTGGAGCATTTATAGATGTGGTTCAAGCATAATGATATAATTAGTGATAACTAATTATTATTAAGATATTTAAATATTTCTGTGTCTCTTCCCTGTGTTTCTATTTATTCCATGTTCTGATGTTTTCATTGGAGAACAGGTACTGTATATGTACTAGAAGACACTTGTGGGTCTTCCCATATCAAAACAATTAAAATGCAGAAAATCACAGTTTCTTTTATCTATATTTTAAAATGCCTTGCTGTTATTGAGAAAATTTAATATCCGTACTAATGGGAGCTGGTTTCTCTCACTGCTCTTGTGGCTTGCTTCTGTGATGAGATTGCTCAATATCACTCTGTAAGAATAAAGGTTTGAGCAATGCATTTACCTACAGTTCACAGAGAAGTCAGTAATGAAATTGTTCACTTGCATTATATTTCTACATCATCTAGGAGATAGAAAACCCTTTATACGTAAGCCATTACATAGCATTACATAGAATATAATAAATACACAAATCAATACTGAATTCCAGCAAATGCAGTCAATCATGTAATATACTGTATATTCTTTCTGGAAGATGGAAGCATATTCCGTTTATGAAAACAATGAAAACACCATTCCTGATTGCTGGGTCTGCAAATTTT